ATACTTTTAGAAAGTTCTATCAAAAACTTATTATTAATGCATCAAACACTGATATAAATTCTGAGAAATCTTTCTCAGTATTTTCGTCCTAAATCTTATTAGGTCGATTTGAATTAAGTGGGTAATATTATACGGTTACCTTCAATTAATTTAAATTACGTGCTTAATTTAAGCTTTGCTTAATTAAACACAATAAGTCACATTGTTGCTTTTTAAATAAATATTATTTTATTTCAAATACAAGCCACCAGGAGATAACAAACAGTCTCTCATAATGGACTTCGGACGTCAAACGGAACACATAATATAGAAATTTTACCTTCCAATAAAATTTGTATTATGTTTCCTAAGACGTCCGAAGTCCAGATAATGTCTTCCTGGGGCTACATCCATCATTATGAGCCGAACAATGACAAATATGGCGGCTTGTCTTTGCTTGTTGGTTCGGTTCCAGACGTTATAGAGGGCGCTGTAGATGGGACTTAGGAAACGGAAGTAGTCAAATTTAGCGACCTGCAGTGGAAATCATACGATGTACTCTCTCATAATGGACTTCGGACGTCTTAGGAAACATAATACAAATTTTATTGGAAGGTAAAATTTCTATATTATAATTTGAAATATTAACTATGTATGGTATTGAGATTTAAATCTACGGATTTGCTTAGTGATGACAGTTTTGAGCGATTTTGTTTTGATTGGCGACTAACTGGCGTGTGTTTTGAAAAACCTTTGGAATTTTGTAAAAACAGATCAGAAGTCGTGTGCATGCGTGTTAGTTACCTTGTGCGTTCGTTTGTGCGCGTGTGTGTGTGTGTTTGAATACTAACAGATGCATGCTTTACAGACGAGGAGTAATTTCGAAGAGACAAGCAAACAGACTGAATCACTCATGAAGAAGATGATGGAAGTGCGGCAAATGGTAAGTTATTTTTAATTGAAATGGAATTTATTCTGGATGCATGAACAGTAACAGTACTTGTTGAATACGAAATACTCTGATAGATAATTCTCTATTGTGTGACGATAGCTACTATAGAACAGAAGTTAATGACCAAAATGTGAATCGCTTTAACGACATTTACAAGGCAGTCTACCACTTATATCAATATGATTGATTAACTTCTACGTACACTAGGAGCATACTACCTGGGGCCACTGCGTTCATCCACAGTGCGTTTCCAGAGATCTTTTTTACCACGTAAAATCCGGCTTTGGAATGAGCTCCCCTCCACGGTATTTCCCGAGCGCTATGACATAATCTTCTTCAAACGAGGCTCGTGGAGAGTTATGAAACTGTAGGCAGCGGCTTGGCTGTGCCCCTAGCATAGTTGATGTCCATGGGCGACGGTAACCACTCATCATCAGGTGGGCCGTCTGCTCGTTTACCTGCAACGGCAATAAAAAAAACTATTTCCGAACGACAACATTATGACCTTCGGTAAATCGGGTCAGCAGTCAGTCAGGACACCCGCTCTGTCTATGACCGTTCCGTTGGACGTTCCCACAAATGTTCGAGGTTTTTAACGTTCTCGATAACGTAAAAGTTAACTCTAATTTGTATGGAGTTGGAACAGCGCCCCTAGCGACAAACGCAGAGAAGCTTGTGAATTAAAAGTTGTCATTCACAAACTTCNCTACCTGGGGCCACTGCGTTCATCCACAGTGCGTTTCCAGAGATCTTTTTTACCACGTACCATCCGGCTTTGGAATGAGCTCCCCTCCACGGTATTTCCCGAGCGCTATGACATAATCTTCTTCAAACGAGGCTTGTGGAGAGTTATTAAACTAGGCAGCGGCTTGGCTGTGCCCCTAGCATAGTTGATGTCCATGGGCGACGGTAACCACTCATCATCAGGTGGGCCGTCTGCTCGTTTACCTGCAACGGCAATAAAAAAAACTATTTCCGAACGACAACATTATGACCTTCGGTAAATCGGGTCAGCAGTCAGTCAGGACACCCGCTCTGTCTATGACCGTTCCGTTGGACGTTCCCACAAATGTTCGAGGTTTTTAACGTTCTCGATAACGTAAAAGTTAACTCTAATTTGTATGGAGTTGGAACAGCGCCCCTAGCGACAAACGCAGAGAAGCTTGTGAATTAAAAGTTGTCATTCACAAACTTCCCTGCATTTCATTGAAAACTTATTCTTCGTGGAGCGTGTTCATGGTTACGACCTTATTACTTTTTATTTTTCAGTCCAAAGAAGAGGACGGAAGCGATGACGGCCCCGGGGGCGTGTCCAGGGCTGGTTACCTGTTCCTCATGGAGAAAAGTTAGACAACTTGAACCTTATAGTTTAGTTCATAGATGCTTTATTTGGACCCAAACTAAATTTGTTTTGCTATGAGAACCAGAAATTTATATAATGAATATAAGTACCTACATATGCTAATGAAATATATTTTTAATGTGTACACCCTTATAAAACCAGACACGGAGAAAACAAATTCGTTCGTCACAATGTTACCTGAGGAAGAGGTAGACCTAAGAAGAAATGGATGGATTGTGTGAAAGACGATATGGGTAGGAGGGGAGTGAGCGAAGAAATGGTATATGATAGAAGAGTATGGAAGGAGAAAACATGTTGCGCCGACCCCAGGTGACTGGGAGAAGGGCAGGATAATGATGAATGTTTACCTGAGGAGGAAGTCGAACGCACGGCACTTGGCTTGGGGACGCTAATCACAGTTCCACCGAATCAGCTGTGACTTTATTCACAAAATTGAGATTGGTTTTTGTTAACATGAATTTATATATATATTCTGAAATAGATCATACCCTGTACTGTTTCACTAATGTTCGTTCACGAGATCTGGAGTATACAGCGTGTTCCTAAACGTTTGTAAAGTTTTCGTGACGTAAATAAGTGCAGTCTGATTCGCGACACGGGGCTACGGTCTCATTGAACAAAATTTAGTTTTGTGTTGCTTATGCTTTTCGGCGACCGTGTCTGACATAGGATTTTGACGATGAACTGCCAAACATAGACTGTCAAATATCGAGGAGCCTTTGCTCGAAGAAAATATGTAAGTATTACTTCCGTTTGATTGCAGAGGCCTTCGGTACGACGACGTGGAGCAAGCAGTTCTGCACGTACGAGAAGAGATCCCGGATCTTGACCCTGACGCCGTACAACCAGATCAACGTCAAAACGGTACGTCCGGCGCGGCAGTGCTCGATGTTCTAATGCTGTCCTCGTTACAAGTGTGTCGTCTGAGTGAGTGGGCTGGTCCGCAGAGCTGGTCTCCCGAGGCCGTGTGTCTGTGCGGCGCCGTGGCGTGCGGTGAGGCGGCGGAGCGGCGCTGGTGCTGGGAGGCAATCCCCGCCGACCGCGAGCGCAGCCCCCTCACACTGCAGGCGCTCTCGCAGCGGGACCGCGCCGCCTGGCTTGCTGCCGTCGACGAGCCCCCCGCTGAGAGACACCCGCAGGTACGTCACACACCCCCCCTCTATCGCCCTGGAGTACTTCACACAAATTAAAGTTGAGCGTAGTTCAAGAATGTGTTCGAAAATGAAACGATCGCAGCTTTCGGCAATTTTATTAGACGAAGTTCAAATAAAAATCAGTGATATTTAAAAAAAAAAGAGATTATTAATTGATAAAAATCTATCGTGGAACGCATCGATAAAATAAATCAGCTGAAAGAAGCTTGCATCAGCCGCATCTCTAAGACGGTTACGAAACTCATCCGACCGGCACCAAGGCTGCGCTTGCGGTCTCTTTTCCTTCCAATTCTTAGCATCCTTAAATGGGTGGACAAGTTCACAGCTTACCTGGTGTTAAGTGGTTACTGGAGCCCAACAAGGTATCAACAAATAAATGCCGCCACCCATCTTGAAGTATGAGTTCTAAGGTCTCAGTATAGTTACAACGGCTGCCCCACCATTCAAACGGCAGAAATAGACGGAGTGGTGGTACCTACCCGTGCGGACTCACAAGACGTCCAACCAGACGTCCAATAACTTATTCTAACTAAATTATTCTAACAGCCATCATCTCTTGTTAACAGAAAGCATCTGTGAACAGTGAAGAGTTTGCGTTAGACGAAACGGGATTCGCGTTCGTGCGGAAGCTGATATCCGTGATAGAGTCGAGGGGGCTGGAGGAGCAGGGACTGTACAGGTGAGGCAGCCGGCGGCGCCCCCGCGGCCCCGCAGCCCGGCGACTGACCCGACCGTGTGTTGCCGCAGGGTGGCGGGCGTGGCGTCCAAGGTGTCGCGGCTGGTGGCGTGCGCCGCGCCGGGCCGCCGCCTGCCGCCCGCGCTCCACGACCCGCTGGAGTGGGAGACCAAGACCCTGACCTCCGCGCTCAAGAGCTACCTGCGCGCGCTGCCCGACCCGCTGCTCACCCGCGCGCTGCACGACCGCTTCATCGCCGTCGTCAGTCAGTACACTGCTCCTCGCACTGCAACTAGATGATAAGTATCGGTGGTCACCGTCGTCACCTACTGCGTCACCGACTGTACTCGGAGAGCCCCGGGGAATGGTGCTCCAGACGGACGTTGCGTGGGAAACCACTGAATATAAGTTATAATCACTAATTCGAAGTTGTAATTTTACTATAGATATTTTCATAGAGATGTCATTAGTCAATGATAAATGAGAGAGAGATAGAGAGAAAGAGAGAGGGAGAGAGAGAGAGTATTGAGTGCAAAGATGAAATGCCACTATTGTTATCTCACTAACGTGTACCGAACACTGTATTCATTTACTTAAGCGTTTTGATAAATGTCTATTATTTGAAACAGTAATGTAATGCAAAGTATTGCGAGATTGCGTGGTTATACATTGCCTGTAGTATAAAATACAAGATTTTTGTTCGGGTGTTCTCCTTTGCTAGTACTAGTTCGTAGCGCGGTAGAGTTTTATCACGTAATGCATTAGCGTGTCGCGTGTCGCGTGACGCAAGCCGCGTGTCGCGTGACGCATGCCGTGTGCCGCGTGTCGCGTGTCGCGTGACGCGTGACGTGTGCCGCGTGACGTGCGCCGCGTGTCGTACGCTGCGTGACGAGTGTCGCGTGACGCGTGCCGTGTGCCGCAGAGTGCGAGCGGCGGGCGGAGCGCGCGGCGGGCGTGTGCGAGCTGGTGCGCGCGCTGCCGCCGCACAACCGGGACATGCTGCTGCTGGTGCTGGCACACCTGCGGAAGTACGGTTTTATTTATTTATTTTTTATTGCTTAGATGGGTGAACGAGCTCACAGTCCACCTGGTGTGAAGCGGTTACTGAAGCCCATAGACATCTACAACGTAAATGCGCCGCCCACCTTGAGATATAAGTTCTAAGGTCTCAAGTATAGTTACAACGGCTACCCCGAAACGCATTACTGCTTGACGGCAGAAATAGGCGGGGTAGTGGTACCTACCCACGCGAACTCACAAGTAGTCCTACCACCAGTAAAACGTGCTGCCGGCTAATACACACGCTGTCACCGAACCCACCTTAGAGCCCTCGCCCACGGCGACTTTTTGTATCGATGCAGTAGCGATGCTATCGCGCGTTCTCATCGATACAACCGCGATGCTGCCGTTAGATGTGTAACTTCCCCCAGATTCTGTATCGCTACTATCGCGATGCTGTCGCGATTCAGGATCTACCTAGAAATGTTTGTACGCGTTTACAGCGATACAGTCGCGCGTTTGCATCGCTCCTGTCGCACGTTACAAATGCGACTAACGCGCGATAGTAGCGATGCAGAAGCGCGCTTACAAAACGCGCGACAGTCACGCTGCAGAAAGTCGCCGTGAGCGGGACTCCTTAGGCTTTAAGGTTAAGCGAATACCAGCCTTGGGACATTAACATAAAGCCTCAATTTGGGAAACAACGAAGAATCAAATCCCGCTGACGCATTCCATTTTATTGTTCTAATGACATGTACTTAACGCGTGTTCATAGATGACCTGGTGATGTGAACTAATAGAATTGTATAATTGATATGGTTACTGTTGCTAGAGCGTGGTGTGCTACCGTCCTAACTTTAATTTATTGCTTAGATGGGAGGACTAGCTCAAGCCTGGTGTTATGTGGTATTACCGGAACCGTTAGATAGTAACAATTTAAATACCATCATTGACCTTGAGACATGAGTCCAAGTCAGTTCTACGGCACATCAGCTGCTCCACTCTTCAACACTCTTCAATCCGGAAGGCATGACTGCTTCAGGCCACTCATTAGTGTTGACTGTTGAACACCAGGGTAGCGGCGAAGAGCGACAAGAACCTAATGTCGGAGTCGAACCTGGCGGTCTGCTTCGGGCCCACGCTGCTGAGGCCGGAGCGGGAGACGGTGGCCTCCATACTGGAGCTCAAGTTCTACAACGTGCTGGTGGAGACCATGCTCGAGAACTACGACGAGATCTTTGAGGCCGGCCCCCCCGCCCCGCCCGCGCACAACGGCCTGCTCAGGTCAGTGGAGCTGCCCGTGGGCACAATACGCATACGTCGCGCTTAGGGTCGCTAATACCTTTGAGGCGGTAGCTATCACAAGATATCTGAAAGATGCCTGAACCTCGCATTACGGCATTTCCAATATAAGCTTGCATATATACAAGTTCCGAACAATAACATTCGGACCGTCGGTCTACCGAGCAATTTGGTGGAAGATCTACCCTTCGTCTTTATACCTACACCTTGAACGATATACCTATATGACACAATCTGGTCAAGACGTCGAATTGACTTGACAATTTGCGCACGCGTCAAGGGTCGATGGCGGTGCAATATTTTTTTTAAATAGCGTAACGACGACGTGAAGATCTTCCACTGAGTTGGTGATATTGCTCGGAGAACCATCAGTCCTTTTTTTGCCTACCTATCCTGGTATCTTCGAGGGGCTATGTCAGGTTCACCGAGCGTGTAGGCGAGCTCGCAGGGCTCATCCTAGCGAATTTGCTAACACTAGTCCTACCTAGCAAGGGCTGTGCTTCGCAGAATCTACCACAGGATCGGAAACGTCACCCACTAAGAAAATCCGGCGAGAAACTCAGTGGGCTGTCGAAATGTTGCTGTTCGGAACTTGTATATATTCAAGCTTATCTTGAAAATGTCGTTAGCGAGATTCAGGCATCCGTGAAATATGTTGTGCTCTGCAACGGCTATCGCCACAGATTTATTAATTGGGTCCAGATCAGGATAATGATTGCACCAACTCGAGTGTGTATTAGAGTGTTTTGGCAAGAAAATCAACCCTAAGCCACTAAAAATACGAGTTGTGTTTATGTCATAGTATAATACTCAGTACACCCTAATGGAACCAATGATAAAGTGTCTATGTTGCCCTGTGTTTTATTTTTGAAAATATTCATTAAACTAGCATTCATAAGCTTCTAATATAGGAAATATACATTCAGTTTGAATTTATTTAAAAATACACTAGCAGACCCGGCCACACGTTGCTGTGGCTAAGTTTTTTGTTTCTAAATAACACGCGGCCGGCTATGCTAATACCAAAAATTTACAAAGTAAGTACAATTGGATTTCACTGTATTGCGTTTACTACGAAATAAATTTCACTTATACTTTAGCCACAGCAACACGTCGTGCCATTAAATTGTAGCTTATGTGAAACGTTAATATTTTTAACACAGCGCCATCTATGAGATATTAATGTCAGACAGTATTACAATTGCCTGTAAAAACTGATTTAAGGTGCCATCTGTTTTAGATTTATGAAACTTACAATTAATAACAATAATCAATTTAAGAAATCATTTTATTGTTAATTAATAAATATTGCGACAATTAATCGAAATAAAAACCATCCTATGGCCTAAGTTGGAACAAAACACATATTTAAAAAAATGTAAAAATCGTTTCAGTAGTTTAGGTGTCCATCGCGGACAAAATACGTGACACATAATTTATATATATTAAGATTATCGTACGGATTTTTAGCTTGTCGTGATTGTATATTAAACAAGTTTTCTTTTAATTTCAATTCCTTTCGCGTCTGATTCTGATATGGCTCATGATTGAACTCCTCTCCAACGCGTTCCTTTTGGTAAGAGTTGAGTAGAGTGGTCGTCGTGGCCTAATTGATAAGTTGCTCGGTGTTTGTTCACCCACTTTGTCGTATTTCAATAATAACTTGAACGTTTTCTAGAATTTATTAATATTTACTTTAATGAGACACAAACAATTGATAGAAGTTTTAGAGCAGTAATGGAGGGAAAATGCAATGACACAGATTATGCTGATGAGATAGTGTACGGACAAGCGCGCACATTATATTGCATACGGATGTATTTTATATCAAAGTCATTCATTTTTCGAGTCAGTTTTAATTCACTATTTTTAATTCAACTTTATTAAAACTTATACTATTATACTACTTCTATTTTTTAGTTGGATTTTCTATAAAAGCGCATTTTGTTAGTTTTTTTAAACTATTATTTATTTTTCTTATCATATAAACAGCCGCCAATCAGTATAAGCATATCAATAAACAATTACTCAATATTGGAGTAGTTATCATTATCACAACAGAGGGTTGTGTGGACAAACCGTACAGATAGATTATACAAACTCAACACTCGTAGTATTCATTTCATAATTTTCCCCTATCTTTATGCTGGTAGCCTGTTAGGCTATTCCAGCTACGCCAGGACGGATGAGCTCACGGGCTCAACCTGAGAGAATTTGCTAACACTAGCCCTAGCATGGTCATGTTGCACGCAGGGATACCAGCAATTTGGAACGCCTTGTGGTGACCAGTAAAATAGAGGGAAAAAGGCCTAGGGATAAAGGTCCCAAACGATGGACCAAATAGCGGAGGAACTGGGGATACCTGTCAGCGACGCACTCCACCGGGCTGCAGGGCGAGATCGATGGAGACAGCTGGTTGACGGAATCGGACGGAGTCACGATCCTCAGCAGTGAGGGACCGATCGAAGAGAGAGCCCTAGCAAGAGTAGTGCTTTGTAGAATTAATCAACCACCGAATCGGAATCGCGACCCACTGAGAGGATCCGGCGAGAACCTCAGTGGGATTGCCTCTGCGATGTAGGAGGACTAAGATCGCGTAGTGAAATTGTCAATTGGATCGCTAAGAAATTGAACTTCTAGTTTGAAGGGTCGGGACGTCCATTGTACTATAAAATATTTTTTTTTTTATAACATCGAGAGGCAAACGAGCAAGACGGGTCACCTGATGGTAAGTGATTCACCACCGCCCACGGTCACCAGCGTTTACGCCAGTGCGTTGCCTACCCTTCAGGTAAGAATATGCTCTTTTCTTGAATAACCCAATGTCGCAGTTGTTGGGGAAGACCGCTGATGGCAACGAATTCCAGAGATTTACTGTGCGTGGCAGAAAACTGTTTTTAAAACGCATTGTAGTGGAACGCCAACCATCCAGATGGTGCGGATGATAGTTCCGGCGAGACGATCGGTTGCGAAAATCAGCGGCTTCTATTAAATTGAACAGCTCCTCGGAACACTCCCCATTGTAAATTCTGTAAAGTATGCATAGGGAAGATAGATCCCTACGTAGTGCCAAAGGATCTAGCCGATCGGCAAGTTCAGGATCGTCGACAATCCGCGATGCCCTACGTTGGATTCGGTCAAATGGAGATAGCTGATAACCCGGAGCCCCGGCCCAAAGGTGGCAACAATACTCCATGTGAGGCCGCACCTGCGCCTTATACAGCTTAAGGCGGCGAGCCGGCTTGAAGTACTGTTTGGCCCTGTTGAGTACTCCGAGTTTTTTGGAGGCCATTTGAGCTTTGCTCTCTAAATGACCGCCAAACTGGACAACACTCGAAATGTCTACGCCCAGAATGCCAATGTTCGGCTTGGCACAAAGGTGAGTGTTCGAAGAGTGGCGATGCGACAAAGGGGGCTTTTTATAATTGTGATTTTTATAATTTATAATTGTGATTTTATCCACAAGTCTGACGGCGGTTCGTTGCGTTCGTTTTGTTGATGTCGTAGCGAACACTTAATACTAGATGGACCGTGAGATCGTCTACGCGCTGTAGCTAGAAATTAATTGTGAGTGAAATTATGTTGCCGGAACACAACACAGCGCCTTGACAAGCCCCAATTACATTCAATCTCAATATGTATGTCAGGAAACAGTTACAATTTACGATCTTATTCGCAGTGATGGATTTAGGTATGATGCCGCCCCGGGACCTGTTTATCGCGCCGCCCTGAATGTTGCAAGTAAATTTTAATTCAATCTTTTTATTTTATATTTAAAATAGCATTATAATTTATTATGAAAATTTATCTGAACTCATTTTCAAAGGAATTTCAAAGGACAAATTTCTTTACTTTCTTTAGTCGCTGAAAATTTGTCATTTAAAAAAATTTACCGCCCCTCAAATCATGCCGCCCTAAGCCTGGGCCTCACGGGCCTAGACGTGAATCCATCACTGCTTATTCGAATGGTCGCAACCGTGATGCAGTTCGATTAAAAACTCTCTCGATTATTGACAATAGATTCCGTCAGTCGTCGTCCTGTATAGTCGGATAAGAGAGATTTGTAGCGTGAAACATTTTTGATTAGACTTGTGCGCAACATTGCAATTTTGTAGAGCCCTAAGTATATCTGCATTTTTTGTTTGTGAGGTACCTGAGGTTTTTTACTGGTGGTAGGACCTCTTGTGAGTCCGCACGGGTAGGTATCACCACCCTGCCTATTTCTGCCGTGAATCAGTAATGCGTTTCGGTTTGAAGGGTGGGGTAGCCGTTGTAAATATACTGAGAACTTAGAACTTATAGCTCAAGGTGGGTGGCGCATTTACGTTGTAGATGTAGATGGGCTCCAGTAACCACTTAAGACCAGGTAGACTGAGCTTGTCCACCCATGTAAATAATAATAAAAAAAAGGAAGAAGATAAAAACAGTTCCTAACACCCGGGAGCACGTTGTACCATCTGTCGCGTGACGTACTCGCGATTCTTCCTTCTCACTCTGCACATAAATCTCATATCCTTTCCTTTCGTATTGAATACGTTTTAATTCGAACATCCGGGATATTCAATATCGGTTCGCGTTTAAGGACCTCTACATCAAAGGACCTTGTTTTAGAATGATTTTTTATTGGAAATCATTGTTTTTTTTTATTGCTTAGATGGTGGACGAGCTCACGACTCACCTGATGTTAAGTGGTTATCGGACCCCATAGACATTTACAACGTAAATCCCGCTACCCACCTTGTGACATTGGAACACAGTTTTTACAGTACAACAGCTGCCCCGCCATTCAAACCGAAACGCACTACTGCTTCACGGCAGAAATAGGCAGGGTGGCGGTACCTACCCGTGCGGACTCACAAGACGTCCTACGACCAGAAATGAATGATATTTGCTAAAAATAGGTAACTAATAAACTTTGTTTTGAGCAGTCGAAATTATGTCCTCATTATAACATTAAGAATGTTAAATTGGGAAAGTATAAT